TCCTGCTGATTAGTCCTAGACAACTACACAGAGAGCACTGCCCAGTACTTCTGCGCCTGGCTTAGTATACTGATTCCATTCAAACGTGCACAGTGGATAGGATAGCTCCTTGCCTGAAATAGGGAGCCGGGGCACCTGCAAGAGTTACAAACTCCAGAACTCTGCTCCAGACTTAGCCCAATAAAGGCCTTAGGTACCTAAACCACAACTGAAGAACCAGATCTAGTCCATTAGATCAGTACCCAGCTTTAACAGAATTTTCTATTCGGCAAAATGTTTCAGAGAAGCACAGAAATCACCTTTTTGAATTAGAGTTTAGAAACAGAATTGCCACACTATGCATGTAGTGAAACAATAGATAAAATACAATTACTGACCAGCAACAAAATCTCCAAATCCTATGGTGGTGATAGTGATGAAGGAGAAATAGAGGCCTTCAATGTAATCCCATCCTTCAGTCACCATAAAGACAAAAGGAGGAATAACCAGATGGACCAAGACACCCCAAACAATGAAAATAGCTGTGCACGTAATTTGTGCTTTCCTCTGTAAAGAAAGAAGAAAAAAAAAAAAAGTCTGAGAAAGATCTCCAAATTTTCTTTTCCCATCCGTGGCATCAAGCATCATCTGACAGCATCAGACATTTCAGAGTTTTATGCTAACAGTTTATCAGCCATAACTAGGAGTCACTGACTGAAGTAAACACACAACTATTTTTTTTCCCTTTATGCAGAACTCACTATTCTTACAACTACTTGCTCAAAAAAAGATTATTTCCTTATAGTTTTCTTTCACACACTTGAAAAGTTTAAAGAGTTCCTGATATTTTCTCAAGAGGCGTAAGATACAGACATAGAACTCTAGTCTAAAAAGCAGCCAGTACCTCTGATTTTTCTTTTATTCATTTGAGTATAGAGGATCAGAAGTGTTTGAGATGCTTCTCTCCTATTTATGCCTCCTGCCCTTTGCCACTGATGTAACCTCTGCACAAAGCTGCACACACATGCATTTCACGTACTTTGTTCTCAAGTGCTGAACCAAGAAAGTTCTTGCTCTGATTCAGAAACCAAGACCTAAGCCAGTCCCACTGTCCTCCAGGCACGATGGCCCTGCATTGCCTCCCATCTCTGTGCAGAGTTTGAGCTGAGACAGAAAGAACTCACTGTTTAGGGGTAGGGGGGTAACCAAACCACCACCAAAAATCACAAGAAAAAGCCACAAACAAAAAAACCCCACAAACCAGTAACTCAGAACAAAACATTGTTTTCCAGTTGGTTCACTGCACAGCAGGAGGTACCTGTGCTAGCACAGAAGCATGTGGGAATGAAGCAGGACAGCTTATTTCCATGCCAAAGGAGTTTGCACAGAAATGTCTGTGAAATGGAGCCTCACCTACATGTGACCTACAGGTTTCTAATGTAAGGATATATATGTGTCTCCACAGAAGCTTAAAGATCTATATTTAGTATTAAAGGTTTCTAGAGGATCTCATTTTGCTAAAAATTCTTGCAGAACAAACATATCAGACCTCTTCCCCTTTTCAGTTATTTCTATGCAACACCATTTGGGAAAATTCATATTTGGGCAAGTGTTCATTTACTACCAAGATTAGCAGGTAAATTAAGAGCTAGAAGTCTAATTCATGCATCAAAAATACACAGCATGAGGGTAAACAAGACAGGGCCTTACCAGGCTTACTCCTCTTTTCGTCAGAAACTGGCCCAGCCTCTTGGCACGTCCTCCAAAGAACTTCCCCAGAGCACTGATCCATGTCAAGCAGAGAGGAACTCCAAAGAGCCCATAAAATATGCAGAAGAGACGCCCAGAGGGTGTCTTTGGAGAAACATTTCCGTAACCTACAAGAGATAAGCATGTGCACGGTCTGTTTTTGTTGCAGAGAATTCAAAACCTAGGCACAAACCAACATTGCGTGGGCTTCTGCTGTATCAGATGCTCCTTACTTCACCATCTAGAAGAGCTTTAGTCTACTGCAGCTGCTGATCTTCTGAATCTGGATGCCATCCAATTCTCTGCTAGCAAACGTGTACTCCATTAATGCAGGCTGAGAGGATTACTGCGTTTTAAGTGTTTCCTAGATTTTGTGCATCTTTTTTCTTGACAAGATGAGATAAATATGAAATAAAGCTTATCTCAAAACTTCTAATACGATTCCCCAACCTTCAGCAGCACTGCTAAAAGCTTGTTAAAGTTAAAAACTTGATTGAATCACTTTTATAGAATAAAAGCTCAAAATTCATCCTGAAGCTAACTTCCATGTGAAAGATCCACTATACCCATTCAACTTGTGACCTGGTACCTTTCCAGGGCGAGTTTGAGTTAAGTGCAAGGTGAGTTGTGACATAGTAAGGTATTTGGATGGAATTTAGTTCTTTGCTGGTCACAGACCCCAACAAAGCATTACAAACTTGGGCTCTAAAATCAGCAACCTATTTTCTGAACTTCTGCCACAGCTTTCTTATTTAGGTGTATTCCTGACTTCAACTTTTTGTCGTAAGTTATACCATAAAAGCTGGGTATCATGAATTTTAAGTAATAAAGAAAACCAAAATACTACATATGGTTTAACAGCAAGACTTCCATTTTTGTATACCTCCAGCCTTCTCTATTTATTTTGCACTCCTGTTCTTTTTGCATTGTAGGTGAAGCAAGGGTGCAGCAATACCATGTAGCAAAGATTTTTCCGTAAAAGCGGAAGGCAGATGATATTGATCTCTGAAAATCCGTACATCAAAGGGGGAAGAAGTCTTGCAATGCAGAGGGTTTTGCAAGTACAAATCAGTAGTGAGATTCAGGAGACAACACTTGTTCTACTGTGTACTGTAAGTTCAGGTTGTTCTGTGAGCCAAGAACAATGCACGTGAGCAACAGGACAGCTATACAAAAACTCCATATGCACATGCTTTAATATTAGCGTAACGGAAAGTGTCGTAATGCTTTTGTTTTGGGATTTTATGATTTGGAACTTTAAGTGCAGGAATCAATTGAACTGAAATGACACCTGTCATCCCCAACAGCACCTTGAATCTGTTACTTATTGGAAAGGCACACATTTCTCTTCTGTACACCCACGGAGAAAGTGCCCAGAACCTTTTTTTTTTTTTTTCCTCTATGAGCCTGTGGGTGAACGTGTACTCTAGGCAACTCCATCCCTGGTGACTTTATGCAGTGGCTAGCTTGACACACATAAATGGAGTACAAATACACTAGACCACACAGAAAACTACCGTTAGGGAAGTTGATATAATAAATACTTACCGATTGTAGTGATCACAGTAGCAGCAAAGATCACAGCATTAGGCCAATTCCAGTTGTTGAAAGTATTATTCCCAGTGATGGCAACCCCCTGTCCAGCAGCATTTGACACAACCTGGAAGAAAACAGTTCAGTCATTCTTGGAAAATCCCGGCAGCCTGAAAAAGAAGGGTCTGTCCCTCTCAGGGTTTCCCCCTTTGTTCGTACTTTCAAAATAATCACATTTTTTGTGAAGGCTAGCCTAGTACATTCGCCAACAATAATTCTATGAAACATTAAAAACTTGCTCCACCTAAGAAAAAGCAGTGCAGGTGCTCTGATGTTTAAATAGGGGGTTTTAATTAGATAAGCTTTTACTTGATTTACCAGTTTAACCCAAATGGATCTCTTCCAGAGACCAAACACACTCCTCCAGACTGAACTAGCATTTAACCTCCAGTGCAGTTCTTGAATTTGGTTTAATATTACGGACATCTTCAGAACTACTATCCATTTCAAAACACTGGTACATGCCTCAGCTTGACTTGGGTATGAGCAGAACGTCATAGAATCCTTGGCAAAGCTCGTGTGATTAATGTTAATTCACCTGCTGTCCCTGGCAAAGTCAAACCATCTACAAGGAAGCGTAAAACTTTACTTTTCAGCAAAGCCAGGCAAATTAACATTTTTCCAAAGTATTCCATGCAACAGGACTGTAATCATTGTCCTCAAATCAGGCCCCTTTCTTATCCCATCTTTGAATCTAGTGTGCCATGCATCTAGAACACAAAGCCCTCATTTACAATGTTTTAGGGAAGCACGTATAGATATTGGCATTTCCACAGACTCAGCAAGTCCATTTTTAAACATCTGTTCAGGTCTTCGGGTGCTCAAGAATTATTAACCATCTTCACCTTTTGTAAAAAGGGACTTGGAAGACCCAGCCTCCCCTGCCTTTCCAAAACTAGACTGTAGAAAATGCATTAATAAAAAAAAAACCTTCATGACTAGTGCAGAAAGTCAAAGTTTCAGATCAAAATCAGGCATCTTGCCAGTTCTGATATGTATTTGTACCTCCTCAAAGAGAAAAGCAATTTATCATATTGTCTCCTAGAAATCCCCAATTATTTAAATCTTCGCTCTGTCACATCATGCTGCAGTTAAAACCTTCTCGGGTTACTCAGTTTTTTTCCCTTTGGTGTAAACCAAGGTTGTCCGAACAAAACTGAGGCTACATCCATGTACAGGAGAGGTGAAGGTATCTCTAAAAGTTGATTCATACCATTATCCCCCATTCTGTGTTTCTTCCTCAAAAAATGTTGAACACAAAAACTATTTTGAGCTAAATACTTAAAACTGGAGGCAATATATATATATTTTTTTTTTAATAAACGTGACAGGTGAGGTTTATCTTAAACTAGTAAGAACTTATAGAGGTGCCTACAACCAACTCTTCCTTCCCTCGTCACCCCTTCCTTCCTTCTTGATTAAGATCTGCTCTTGGACCCAGCAGAGACTGAACACAAAGTTCAGTCACTACTGAAAACATACACAAGTTAACACAGGTTTTAATTATTCTTGAGACTTATTACATATCACCACCCTCCTACTGTAATAAAAATGCCATCAAAGTGAATGTATTGTGCATATACAAGATGCAAACAATTTAATTAAAAATGCACTTTCAACACACAAGCTATTACAGAAGATAAAAGGAAAAGCACTGAAAGTGAACGAAGGTACAGAACCAGATTTTTCTCCTGGTAAACTCAAAGTGTGAGCAGAACTGCATGCAGTGTCTTTCCATAGCCTCCAGGCTCTGGATAGAAAGGGATATAGAGAGGAGTTCTCGCCACGGCAGGTACGTGTCATAAGAAAGTAGTGCTGAAGTCAGAAGTAGCCCTAAAATGGGGAGGTTGAGAGCAGACAAGTAAACACTCAATGCCATCCCCTTCCCCCCCCCTACAAAAAAAAAAAAAAAAAAGCAAAAGCATTTGAGGCAGCTACAAAGGATCACAAGAGTTCATCTGAGTCAAGACCAAAGTAACTTCATTCATTTCCATGATGGGCTGCAGATGAACTTCTTAAAAGCCCCAAAAGACCTGACAGACACAATCTGTGATCGATTATCCCTGAAAAGATTCCTTGACTTCTTCCACAGCCCCGCAACGCAGCACTAAATGTTCTATCAGACACCACTCCTCCAGTCATTTTCCACGCTAGAAGTGCACTTGGATTTTTTTCTTTTATTGTTATTTCCTCACAGAGCAACTGATGTCATAGAGACGCACCGAAGTATCTGTTTCCACTGTCACCGGGCCATTATCTCATCGCATTACTCCACCTTCGGTCTGAGCTGATGAGCTCAGTTTCCCCAGTCTGTACAGTTACATTTCCATCCGCCAACCTTTGAGGTCTGGAGGTGTGAAAGGGGGCCCAGACCCAAGGGGAAGAAGCTGCTGGACTGAGTAAGCCCTTCACGCCCAGACAGTGAACATTTGGGGGTAGAGACGGCCAGCTCTCCAAGTTAGAGAAACACTTTTATATAGAGAATCACAAATACTCCGCAGCCAAAGCTGCCACCCTCCTCCTGTCCCTATTTGCACACAGCTATCTGCTATTAGCACAGGATTATCTGCTATCTACAGTCTAGTCTTTTAAGTCCCTTTATGCCTGCAGTAAGCCGGAATGCACTGTACACACCCCAGCTGCAGGAACAAAGATGGTCACAAAACGCACTTAGATAGCTTTGGGGCAGTGGGAAACACGTAGCTGCCTTTCCACAGGCAGCATAACTTTTGCCCATACTGAAATAATCAAATATTTTGGCTTCAACAAATAATGTGAGTAGACACTATACAACCGAGCAGCAAATACAGGTTTTTTTTTTGCTTGGCGAATCTGTTAGACAATGTCAGAGATGCCTTTATTTTCATTTCCTAGAATACACAATGCCTCAGGTTGCCTGTGCTGGACTTCTTAAACTACAGAAAATTTGCTCTAAAAAAAAAAAAAAAAAAAGCCTTTGGATGGGAAAACAGGGGGCAAGGAGGGAGAGGAAGAAGAGGGTAGGTGGTGCAAGTGTTCTTAATGTCTTGAAAGACGTCATTTGGAAAACACCTTTTTCAAGTATGCACAAATTGCAAAGCTGCAAATAGTTGACGAACTTGGAATTTACAGGTTGCCTTAAACCCCACGGCATGACAGTTGGTACTGATAAAGGCAGGACCTTCTTTTCTGATTTTTGCCTCACAGGAATCAAACCTCCTCTCCTCCCTCACTCCCCACCAGCCCAATGCTGCATTTTGGCAAATGACAAAGGAAAAGATGATCTAGAGTCCCTGGAGCTATTGCTGAAAGTAAACAGACTTGCAATGGCAGAGGGAGATTCAAGACACACAGAAAAGGAATCCATCTGATGACATGAACCCAAGTAGAAACCTCGGTGCCACTGGAACACCATCAAGCAGACAATTTGCTCCATTCGCAGGTACTTCCCCACAGACAAACCTCCTTGTGTTTCCTGGGCTTGGTGACATTTTTATTAACCCTCTGATGACCAGGTTCACCCAAGATTTACCAGATATTACAAGAACTAGTTAAATTTCCTTCGGGCAAAGGAGGGGAGTTTCTCTCAGATGCTTTGGGCACATGCCACTTGCATCCGCTCTATATGAGTAACAGTAGGGCTGAAAAGTCCTCAAAATAAATATGAAAATAACAAGGAGAAGCCATAGACCCACACAGGTGTTACAGATATGTTCCTATGTCTGTGTATTCTACTTCTCCATTTTCTGCTGGGGGTAAGGGCAGAACAGCAACAAGGTTATCCCTAATTGGGAAACCACATACTAGCGCATTTATTCAAATTCTTTTTTCTGCTGGTCTATCAAGGTTTGCTAGGGCAAGTCTCTATGGTGGCTTAAAAGCTTGCAATAGGCAGCAGCCCCATCTTAGCTGTCCTTGTATTAGCAGGAGGGATGGTGACGTTTGAAATTTGATCAATACCACCGCAACGTAAAATGGATCACAACAGAATGACATTTAGTCCCTGGAGAAGTAATATATAACTAAGGGAACAAGCACATTGGAAACTGCCTGCAAGTGAGCTTTAGCATCACTAGGGATGTGGAATATGCCATTTTACTTTGGCTTCTTGGCCAGAAGGAAAAAAGGGACAGAACTATCACCTTCTGCCTTTGTAAGCATGAACAAGTGCACAAGGCTTCATTTTCTTTCTAGGAAAAGAAGAAAATATTCTTTTACACCCTCCCTTCAGCTATTTATATACATTTATTAGAGCCCCCTGAGACTTTTCCAAGCTGAACAGTCCCAGCTCTCTCAGCCTTTCTTCATAGGAGGACTAGAGCATCCTCCAGTCCCTTTATCATCTTTGTGACTCTTTGCTGGACTCTCTCTGGCATGCCTCATGTCTCCCTTGTATTGGGGAGCTCAGAACTGGACACAGCACTCCAGGTGTGGCCTCACCAGTATCCCCAGGTCCTTTTTCTGCAAAGCTGCTTTCCAGCTGGGTGGCCCTCATCGTGTACTGGTTGGTGCATGGATCCACACATGGTTAGTGATGTTATTCTAACAGTTAAGGACTGCAAGAAAGTGGTGATACAGGTTTTGCATATCAAATAGGAATAATTTAATACTTGGCGTGAAATCCTAGATACTTTAATAAGGATTAACTGGGTCTGATAACAATGAGCAACAGGAAAGAAAAAGGACTTCTGGGGTACTGACAGACAGATTGACAGACAGGCCAGGCTACAGACACAAGACAATAAACAGGCTATATAAACGGATGCAACAGATCCTGCCCCACAGGCACCCTGCTACCTATTAAAAGAACAGCCAGATATTGCTCAGTGCCAGGTCACTTTTGAAGAGACTGAAGCCCCCCAAGTCACTCAAAGCATTCCCTGGAGAGCTGACACATCAGTCTAATGGTAGTTTTAAGCTTCTCCCAGTAGCATGAATGAATCTCTTTTGCAAACCCTAAGTGTTTCTCCCTAAGAAAGGGGATGTAATTGAACTATTAAGGCTGAAATCAGAACCAGTGGCTTTCATTCTGCCCTCAAAGTATTGCCACATACATAAAGGACAATCACAGCTGGCTGCTGCATCCAA